ATGGGCCGGTAGTTGAATCGAATCATTCATACTCTGACTGTCTAACCCTCAAACAACGTTTATATTATCCCTTCATTGTTAGCGTCCTGTCAAAAAAATGTGAGTGCAAGGATACAGCAGTTCGTGGACAAACACGGCGTTAGGACAATATGCCGTTCCTCGTAGAAGTTAAAGGGTGTTCTGTATAAGAAAGGGGGATCCTCCACAAGCAGATAACCTCTGGCTAGTGCACCGTCTCACTTGCACTCGTGACGACGCCTGCGAGAAAATCCACTAAAGCTCGGAAATAAAAGACCGGAAAATATGACCTGCACGAGCGGAGCAGACCATAAAGGTAGGATGGACGGGAAGAGAGGTACGCGATTAACTCGGCTTGGTCACTACTGCTGCATCATTAGCACTCCTGTGCCTAATCTTGTGAGGTATGTCATTTTTCTGTACTCAATCTCGAAACAAATGTGACTTTGTACAACTCGATAAAACTGAATCCATCATGCCATCGAATTGAGGCCATGAATCAGGCTCATCGTCCAAACGAGGGACAAGTACACCAAGCTTTGCCTTGTCTAAAGGTGGTTTGTCACCAGCAGAGGCACGACTTGACAGCTGTTTCACACTCGACAATCCGTCTGAATTCGTTGAACTACAAATTAAACAAAAAATATGCACATATTTCAATAAATTATTTATGAAATTTAATTTCGCACCAGTGCCTAGTTCCGCTAAAAACTTCCGTGAGGGCATACCGTCTATTTCAAAGGGACTTGTGGGATGGTCTTTCCAGAGGATGCCAACATAGTTTGGCTTACAGGTGGAAAGTTCTTTACCACCCGTTTATCTCTCGTATGCCATCGGCATTGCATTTTAATAGATTTTTATATGAACGATTGATTTTTTCTACGCCGCTTATGTGAAATTCTGTCACATCTTTGGTGATAAATGACGCGACGCAAGGGCGTACGGAAAAATGGCTGCTCTCAAACACACTGACCTATCAGCTGATAGCTCAGGTGACCAAACGCCAATCAGAATTCGATGACAAGTCAAGTTCATCATATTTTTTCAATCTGATATCGATAAACGGACATATCGGATGTGATATCGAAGATGCAAGTGCTGCATATTCAAGAAAGCTACAGACATGGCGCTTTGGACCGAGAAACTGTTTACTCATGACTTGCTGATAAAATGTTCGGCATCGCATCAGAAGCTGTGTAACAGGAAACCACGGATAGCTCCTTGGTGGAATGGAATGGAAGACCGGC